CAGAAAAAAATAAATACTTAAAGTATTAATTTTATTTTTTTTATTATAATGTTAATAAATAAAAATACATAAATAATTTTATAAAAAATTTTAAAAAATTCTTGGAAAAAAGTTACTCTCTAAACAAATCCACCCTAAAATTTTTAAATCACTCCTTGACATGATAGAAACCAATTTTATTATTGTACATAGATATTACATGGAATCTCATTATTTTTTTTATTTTTTTTTTGGCAAGACGACAAACATTTTATTTTTAAAGTTCAATCATACTTTAGCATATATAAATTGTTAATTGTGATCAAAGCATCAAAATCAAGCACTAATTGCCCTTAATTTTCAACGGGGTTTAGTTATCAAACACTTTCTAAGATTAACTAATTGGTCCTGTTATGCTTGTACGTTGTATTTAATTAAATAATGACAGTGACATGCATGTTCCAAATCCAAATCCCCTTAATTTAATTTTTCAAAAGAAATATTAAAAAAAAATGGACCTTACTAATTTGTTTAATTTATTCAGCAAATGGACAATCTACCTAACTAAAAAGATTGAACCATGTGAATTATATTGGTACTATTTTGATTTTTAACTTCATTAATTGCTTTAGGTCGAATAACCTTACTTTTTGTTAGCACAAGATTAAGAAGAAAGTGTGTGAATAATGAAGACCAACTATTCTAGGCGGATGGCTAGCGTATTATTTATAGGAAAATGATTCACACTTCCTTATAAAGAAATCTTATTCATCTATTAGCACATAGGTGAATCTATCTACACATAGCATAGTTGTGTAAATTAATATATTTGATTTGAAGAAAATAAATAGAGGAGGAATGAGAAGAAAATTTTGTCCAAGTATTCTTAAATCATAATTCTCTTTCCAAACATTTAAAGGTTTAAAAACAAAAATATCAAAATTAAAGTCTCAAAATTTTATTATTTAAGATATTTTCTTCGCATTGAACTTAAGTTATAGTAGTTATAGACTTATCCATTCTCAAATAAAACAATCAATAAAAAATATACAAAAAAAATGGTTTATTATTTGGGTTTTCAGATTTTCAAAAAATTTTAGTATGTCAATACATTTTGATTTTCTGTTTTTATTTATTATTTTATAATTTAATATAATTTAAATTATAAAATAATTAAAAAAAAAAACTTTCTATTAGATATGACTACCCTAGAATTAACATAATTAGAGAAAAAAAGAAAAAAGAAAAAAAGGAAGCAAATGGACCCATAAGAATTTCTAGCATTGCGGTTAGGATGAAGATCTTCTACTCATATTATGAATAATGATGCACATTTTATCTTTTGCATCCAAAAGCAAGGATCTTAGGTCACTTCAATTTGCATAACAGCAACATAAAGCAAAATCCAATTAAATCATAAAATTAATTACAATTGCCACATCATCACTGCCAACCTGGCACCCAATGCCAGCTGTCATCTCCATGCTAGTGTGCAACACTGCAACCTTATAAACCCTCCCTTTCTCTCTCCCTTATTCCCTCTTCTCCTCAGGCGTGGCTATTGGCTTTCATTACTCTCTTTCTTCTCCCTTTCTCTTTCTAAAAACCATCAAGAATTCATCAATGGCGATGTCTTTTAAATGTTCTTGGTTCTTTCATGTAATCATGTTTTCCACCATTAATCTTCTTTTTTGATGCTCTTTGAAGGAGACAGTAAAGAGAAGAAGATATCATTTTGAAACAAAGTCCCCTGTTTCTGTGTCATCTACTCTGTTTTTTTCTTGCTCTATAAAACCATGGATATGTGGCCGGAGAAGATGCCGTGGGAAGGTCGGAGTCGGGACCGGAGAGAAAACCCATCTTTCTCTTCGACTCTTCTTGATGCAATTTACCGTTCCATTGATGAACCCAATGGTGGCAAAACAGACGAGGAGCTGATTTTCTACGGAGAAACCATGAGGAAGAAGGTTAGCAGCGAGAAGGTTGTGCCGGTTCGTCGGAAATCCATGGCGGATTTTGATTCTAGGATGTTGAAGTCGAGTTCAAGCTCTTCGGATTCAAGTTCCGGAGGTGGGTTTTCGTCCTCAGAGTCGGACTCATTTTACGGTCCGAAATCGAGATCGTCGAGTTACACGGAGGGTTATAAGGCACAGAGGCCAAAACCGATTCGGACGAGCGTGTCCGGCTGGAATGAGAGGTACACGCCGCCGCAATTCGAAAAGCAAAAGCCGAAGCACGAGGGAAGTTTTATAAGGACAAAATCCAAAGCCCTGAAGATTTACAGCGACCTCAAGAAGGTAAAGCAGCCGATTTCCCCTGGCCGACGTCTCGCAAGCTTCCTCAACTCTCTTTTCACTACCGGAAACGCGAAAAAAGCGAAGATTTCTTCATCTGGGTACCAGGAGAGGAAGACTCCGTCTTCATCAACCTGCTCTTCAGCTTCTTCCTTTTCGAGATCTTGCTTGAGCAAGACACCGTCTTCGAGAGGCAACGGAGCAAAGAGGTCCGTTAGTTTCTACCCCGTCAGTGTCATCGTCGACGAGGACTGCCGGCCATGTGGACATAAAAATCTCAATGAAACCGAACAGAGTACAACACTAAACCCCAGAAACAGAGACCTTGAATCCCGAATCATGGAAGAAAACCGGCGAGTTGTGGAAGCTGCAAAACATCTCCTGAAGAATTACCAGAAGAGAAAGGACGAATTCAACATGACAGATCTCAGCAACAATGTGAATGAAGAAGAATCCAGCGATGAAGAAGATGATGCTGCAAGTTATGCAAGTTCTGATCTTTTTGAGTTGGATAATCTTTCAGTTATTGGGGTGGAAAGGTATCACGAAGAATTGCCAGTTTATGAAACAACACATCTCGACACTAATCGAGCCATTGCTACTGGCTTGATCATGTAATTTCCCCGGAAAAGAAAGCTCGGGAAAATAATATTTAGTTTTCATTAGTTAAATTAGTAGTGTGGGGGTTTACATCCAAAAAATAAAATTTCTCTTTTGGTATAGTATGATTAGTATTTTTAATTTCTTTTTTTTTTTTTGGGTGCAATTTGGCCAGTGATAAACTATTTACCAAATTACAACTTACAATTAAAATTAAGATATTCATAAGGAATTAATTCTGATCACTAATCTTTAAAAATATCTTTTTTTTTTTCAAAGTGATTTGTGGAATACTTGAATTTATTTTTGAGAGGAATATCTATCATGATGATCATTGTGTAAAGAGAAAGGAAAAAATGGTAAAGAGGGTGATAGATTAAGATGAGGTGAAAAGCAAAGGCAGATTGTCTACCATGATTCATTTCATGGAAGAGAAAGAAAGAGCTTTTGCTTTTGGTGTCATTTTTGTGGGTCCTTAATTTTGCTTCAAAATAACTCTACCTGATGAGTGAGGGGTAATTATTTGTTAGTCAAAAAAGTTACTGTTAAGCTTGAATTGTTCAGAGGATTAAAGTTACCGGCCAGAGAATATGTTTTCCGGTGGGGGTGTTGTGCTTTGCCGGTGAGAAGGGCTGATGGTAATGGAGATCCTTTTGTTCTTCTGAAATAAATCAGAATTGAAGGTAATGGAGGTTAATTAATTGGAAAGAAAAGGGAGAGTAAGATTGATACAAAATATGGTCTCAAAAGTAGTGGACAAAAGGATCTAATCTTGGATCCTCTAAGCGTAGATGTCAAATTTGGTTGGCTTACAAGTTGAAGTTATGAAAATAAGAATTTCTGAGACCGAACTGCAAAAAAATTTAAACCATCTCAAACCTAAAAATCTCATCGTTTTACGTTTTTCACCTCTATTTTATTTAAAATTTATAGCTAAACTCAAAATAATTGTCATCTACCAACAATCTATTGGTTGAATGAAAAGTGTTCAATTTTTTTAAAATAAAATTTTGAATTTAAATTTTATAAATAGAGAAATATTCATTGTGAGAATTTTTTCATGATGAGATCTGACGTAACTTAATTTTGAATTAATCAAAATTCAATATAATTACAAAATATCGAAAGATTAATATAAAAAAAATAATTATCCACTTAATTTTCGTAGAACTTATAAATTTTACTAAATATTCTCCAAGCTGTGTCATCTGACTAGTCAAAACTGGGTAATAATAGCTATTATTGTTCATGTCAAGGCTACTCGTTAATCTACAAGATTTAATAACAAGATCATTTAAGAACGTGATTCCAACATAGAGTAATTCAATTAATTTGATATGAACATGAAGGGAGTAGCTTATACATAATTATCAGAGCCTCAACCTGTTTATTTCAGCGAGAGGGAGTGTGAGAGTGAGACATAACAAAAGATTTTCGGAAAGAATATTCAAAAGGAGATGAGAAGGACCACTAAATCATAACACAATGATCCTAATTAAGCTATCATAACATATAAATACTTAACTAAACTGGCATATATATACACTTTAAGCCCAAATTTTAGACTAAACTGTGGGAAAAGAGAAAGCCTATTCTACAATCGAAAGTACTACGGTAGGCTCCGAATTGTCCTATTTAAAATTTAGTTAGTTGTACCAAAAAAAAATAGAGTTAGTTATGGGAATCAATGCTTCCTAAATTAACTTTCATTAAAAAGAAATAAGATTTTAATTTTTGTAATTTAAATAATAAAATAAAAATATTTATTTGGGGGGTTTTTTAATATTAAAGAATTTATCTTTTATTAAATCACTGTTGTTGCGTAATTAATTTTGTCAAGGAAAAAAATAAATAAAGTATAGTAAGCTGTGCAAATTATATGCGACCCAATTATTTGAATTTTGTGATTTAAAAAAAGATTAATTAATAACTATACTGATAATCGATGGTAGTTTTTGTTAACTTCTTTACTAGACATGATAGGTAAATTAGTATACATCTTGTATAATTATTATTGATAAATATTATCAATAAATATTATAAATGAGTTTTTAAAAAGTATATTGACAAGTTAATAATATAAATAATTTAATAATAATATTTTTTAATAAAAACAAAAGATTTTAAATTTAGAATAACTCAACATAAAAGAAAAGTAAATTAAATAATAAAAAAATATTTTTTTATATAACATAAAATAAAAAATATTAATGATAAATTAATGGTTTCTTTTCTAACCTGGTTTGACAAAGAGATAATTAAACTAATAATTAACAATTTACTATCAAGATTTAAGATTTTGTTCGATGAATTAACCATAATTCTTTATCCTTTCTTTTATATATATAAAGAAAAATATGGTAACTAATTCGATGAAAAAATCGCAATTCAAACCGTTTGAAATACGGACAAAAAAAAAAAAATCATTTGAAATGGTTTGGTGACTCGTGAGGTGAGGAAAGTTAACAACAATGATGAGATCCTTGTGGCTGTGGCACCTCCTACCCATTCAACCGTTGACTACATAACCCTAAGTATTTTTGGTTGATAAAATAAAATATTTTACTTTAAAATATTTAAAAAAATGTTAAAATATTAAAATATTTAATTATAATTAATAAACGTATAAAAATAAAATA